TGCTCTCAGGGAGGGTTTCTAGAGGGTAGCTGCCTCCTCCATGCCACAGTCTGCTTTCAGGGAGGGTATCTAGAGGGTAGCTACCTCCTCCACACCACAATCTGCTCTCAGGGTTTCTAGAAGGTAGCTATCTCCTCCACACCACAATCTGCTCTCGGGGAGGGTTTCTAGAGGGTAGCTACCACCTCCATGCCACAATCTACTCTCAGGAACAGTTTCTAGGGGGTAGCTACCACCTCCATGCCCCAGTCTCCTCTCAGGGACAGTTTCTTGAGGGTAGCTACCACTTCGATGCCACAGTCTGCTCTCAGGGATGATTTTAAAGCTGCTGCTGGCCCAGTAACCTGTGCCTAGGACCTGGGTTTCCAGTGGAGTCTGCACCACACCAGTAGTGTCAGAGGAGCGTGAAATGTGGCCTTCCTTCTCGTAGAACAGAGAGACCCAGAATGAGCATGTTCTTCCTCCTGCTGCAGCAAAAGGTGGCCCAGTGATGCCAGGCGGCCCAGAGAGGTACCTTTCACCCCTGCATGTGGCACCAATGGGAAATGAGCAGCAGCCCCAGGAGAGCCAGAAGAATAAAGCAGACCAGGAGGGCAGTGCCAGGACTCTGAAGACAAAACTGTTGAAATGACAGGCCACAAAAATAGGCTGAAATCTACACCCTGAACCTGAACAGAGCAACTGCCTGCTAAAATAGATTAAAGTAGGATCAGGAGCCTCCAGACATTGTAACCCAAATGTCCAGGATACATCTGGAAATCACCTGTCATATGAAGAACCAGGAAAGCCACAACCTGAAGATAGTGAGGTAACTGATGTGAATTCCAAGATGAGTCACATGTTGGAATCATCTGCCAAGAATTTTAAAGCAGTCACAAGAACCAGGCTGGGTGCAGTGGCTTACGCCTGTAATCCCAGCACTTTGGAAGGTTGAGGCAGGCAGATTACCTGAGGTCAGGAATTCAAAACCAGCCTGGGCAACATGGCAAACCTCTCTACTAAAAATACAAAAATTAGCCAAGCATGGTGGTGGGTACCTGTAATCATAGCTACTCAGGGAGCCTGAGGTACGAAAATTGCTTGAACCCAGGAGGTGGAAGTTGCAGTGAGCCAAGATTGTGCCACTGCACTCCAGCCTGGGTGACAGAGCAACACTCTGTCTTAAAAAAATGTGATTACAGTTTTTTAAACAAGTAAAAAAAAAGAAAAAAAAAATAAGCAAAGAAGTTATTAAAAAACCAAGTGGAAATCATAGATCTGAAGAAAGAGAATAAAATAATGTTGTATCTTCTGCTGGACAGACAGAGTGATGGAATGGAGTTAACAGGATCATCAGGGAACTTGAAGATAGAGCAATGGAATTTTCTTGATCTGACCAACAGAGAGAAAGTAGATTGAGAAAAAAGTGAGCAGAGTCTCAGAGGTCTGTGGCACAATAATTTGTATCATCAGTGTCCCAGAACAAGAAGAGGAAAAGTGTGGGGCTAACATTGCTGAAGAAATAATGGCTGAAAACTCCTCAATTTCAATGAAAAACATAAACCCACATATTCCAGAAGCTGAACAAGCCTTCGTAGGATAAGCCCTCCAAAAACCCATACTAAGACATGTCACAATTAAACTTCTGAAAACTAAAGACAGAGGGAGGAAAATACTAACTTCCAGAGAAAAATTTGAATGAAGGCAGATTTCTGAACCAAAACCACAAAGGCCAGAAGGAAGTGACACACCATTGTTCAACTGTAAAAGGGAAAGAGCTGTTGACTGTGAGTCCTCTACCCAGCAAAACTATCCTTCAGGAATGGAGGAGGAGGAGAGATATTCTCAGACAGGCACACTAATACAATGTATTGCTAGGAGACCTACCTTTAAGGAATGCCTAAAGGATACCCTGTAAACAGAGAGGTAATTTTAGCAGAAGAGGGCTGGCGCCTCCAGAAAGTTGAAAACAATGCAATGGATAAAAATAGAAGTAAATGTCACTGACCATCTTTCACTTAATGAGTTTCTTTAATCATATTTGATGGTTGAAGCAAAAATTACAACACTGATATGGTGCTTGATGTATGCGGAGGAAATATCTACAACCACGTATTTAACAGAGAGAAGGGTAAGAGGGACTTAAGTGGAAGTAAAGTTTCTACACTCACTTGAGGTGATAAATCATGGATGCCGATAGACTGATGAATTGCATATGTAATAGTGATATCCTCAAAAACATCATAAAGTGGAATTCTGAAAAACATTCTAGTATCCCACAGTAAAATATGAGAGAACAAACACAGATGATTAAATGGCAGGTGTAAGCCCTAATATATCACTAAATGTAAATGGCCTAAACATACCCATTTAGAAGACAGAGGTTGGCTGAATGGATAAAACTCAACCTAACTATGTGATGTCTATTATATGCTAAAGCTCACTTCGAACATAGCAACATAGGCAGATCAAAAGTAAAAGGATGGCAAAAGTGTATCATGTAAACATTAATTTTAAAAAGCAGGAGTGGCTGTTGAAATTCCTCCAGAAAAAGAGGGACATTACATGGTAAAAGATCCCACTGGGAGAATAAAGCAATCCCAAATGAGCACACAGCAAACAGTAGACCTTCAACATGCATATAGCAAAAACTGATAGAGCTGAAAGAATGAGACAAGCCTGCTGTTGTAGTTGATGACGACAGCAATTGGTAGAATGACGAGGCAGATAGTCATCAAGGTGTAGCCGAGCAACACCATCAACCAACAGGATCTAATTGATGTTTACAGAACATACCACTCAACAACCACAGAATTCACGTTCTTTTCTAGTATCCTCAGAGCATAGACCAAGATAGACCATATCCTGGGCCATAAGGCAAAACTTAGCAAATGTAAAAGACTTGTGCAGAGGGCCAGGTGCAGTGGCTCAAGCCTGGAATCCCAGGAGGCCGAGGCGAGCAGATCACCTGAGGTCAGGAGTTCAACACCAGCCTGGCCAACATGGTGAAACCCCCTCTCCACTAAAAATACAAAAAATTAGCTGGGCATGGTGTCGGGCACCTATAATCCCAACTATTCGAGAGGCTGAGCCAGGAGAATTGCTTGAACCCTGGAGGCAGAGGTTGCAGTGAGCCAAGATTGCATCATTGCACTCCAGCCTGGGGAACAAGAGCAAAACTCTGTCTCAAAAAAACCCCCAAAATAAAACAAACAAACAAAAAAAAAAACGTGCACAGAACACCTTCTCTGACAATAATGGAATCAAACTTATATCAGTGGTATACAGCAGGAAAATCTTCACACGTGTAAATTAGACAATTATTCTACTCAGAAATGGAAACAATTGCTACCTGCAACAACTTGAACGAAACTATGAAAGATTATGCAGATGAAAACCAATCCCAAAGGAGTATGTTATGGTTTTGTTTGTATGATATCCATAAAATAACAGAGATAAAGAACAGATGACTGATCTCCAGGGGCTAGGGATGGGATGGCGTGATTATAAAGGGTCACTAGGAGGAATCCTTGTTTGTGGTGCCACTGCAGTTACGTACCTGGATTATGGTGGCAACTGCATGAATACCCAGAGGGGTCATGACCTCTTCGCTTTCCCAAGACACACTGTCAGACCGAATCGTTATAACCTGGATTTCAGAAGCAGGGACAATAGCCAACACGTTATAACAAATGAAACATACCTTGGGTTGCTGAGATGGGGAGATCACTTGAGGCCAGGAATTCAAGGCCACCTGGGCAACATAGTGACACCCTGTCTCTACAAAAAAATAAAAATAAAAACTTAGCTGGATGCAGTGACTCACACCTGTAGTCCCGGCTACTTGGGAAGCTAAAGTGAAAGGATTGCTTGAGTCCAAGGGTTTGAGACTAGCGTGGGAAACATAGTGAGATCCCCATCTCTACAAAAAATAAAGTTACAGCTAGGCACAGTGGCTCACATCTGTCATCTCAGCACTTTTGGGAGGCCAAGGCGGGTGGATCACCCGAGGTCAGGAGTTTGAGACCAGCTTGACCAACAAGGTGAAACCCCGTTCTCTACTAAAAATACAAAGATTAGCCATTAATGGTGGTAGGCACCTGTAGTCCCAGCTACTTGGGAGGCTGAGACAGGAGAATAGCTTGAACCTGCGAGGTGGAGGTTGCAGTGAGCCAAGATCGTGCCACTGCATTCCAACCTGGGTGACCGAGTGAGATTCCACCTAAAAAAAAAAAAAAAAAAAAAAAAAAATTAGCTGGGTGTGGTGGGCTGCTCTTGTAATCCCAGCTACTCAGGAGCCTGGGGTGGGAGGATCACTTGAGCCAGGAAGGTTGAGGTTGTCAAGATCTATGATCATGCCCATATTGTAGGCTGGGCAATGGAGGGAGACCTTATTTAAAAAAACAAAACAAAACAAAACAAAACAAAAACAACAACTTATATAAGAGATGAAGTTTTATATCTTACCAAAATAAAACAGGAATAAGAAGGCTGTAAGAGAAAAGGCAGGGATATGGACAGCAGAAGCAGCAATGCTAATATCTGTTTAACAGATGTCCCAGGAAGGCAAAATAAAAGTGGGGAGTAGGGAGTAGGAGGTATTTGAAGGGATAATGAAGACACATTTTCTAGAGTTAAAAATGGGTCAGACCAAGAGCAGTGGCTCAAGCCTGTAATCCTGGCACTTTGGGAGGCTGAGGCAGGTGGATTGTCTGAGGTCAGGAGTTCGAGACCATCCTGGACAACATGGTGAAACCCCATCTCCACTAAAAATACAAAAAATTAGCCAGAAGTGGTGGTGTGTGCCTTTAGTCCCAGCTACTTGGGAGGCTGAGGCAGGAGAATCGCTTGAACCCAGGAGGTAGAGGTTGCAGTGAGCTGAGATTGTGTCACTGCACTCCAGCTTGGATGACAGAGCAAGACTCTTGTGTGAAAAATAAAAAAGGAGGCTGGTGGAGAAGGATACATATACATATATATGTATGTATATATATGTATGCATGTAGGTATATATAGGTATATATATGCTTGTGTTTGTGTATATATATAAAAACACATAGAGCTTCCCCTAGTGATGGCCTGGGGCCAGCTGTCTGTGGGTCAGGAGTCTAGACATGGCTCTACTGGGTCCTCTGAAGGCTGCAATCCATGCTGGGGCTGCGTTCTCATCTGAGGCTCGACTGAGGAAGAGTCCGTTCCCAAGTGCACTTGATTGTTTCCAGCATTTACTTCCTTGGATGTGGACTGGATGCCGCCCTCAGCTCCTGGCCACGGGGTCCTTTTACAGCTGCTCATGACATAGCAGCTGACTTCCTCAAAGCCAGCAAGGGAGAGAGTCCTGCAGCAAGGCAGATGTTAGCATAAGTCATATGTGATGCTCACTCTTCACCTCTGCTGTACCCCACTGGACAGGGCTGAGCCTCAGGACCTGGGCACACTCAAGGGGAGGGTCCTCCACAAGGCATGAGCACTGGGAGGTGGGGACCCTGCGGCCATCTGAGAGTGCCCACCACATCTGGGAGCCATGTGTCTAGAAGACTATTGAAGTTTTGTGCCAACTTTTTTTGTTATTTGTAAATGGAGTCTTACTCTGTTGCCCAGGCTGGAGTCCAGTGGATTAATCTTGGCTCACTGCACCTTCTGCCTCCCAGGTTCAAGCAATTCTCTGCCTCAGTCTCCTGAGTAGCTGGGATTACAGGTGCCTGCCACCATGCCCAGCTAATTTTTTGTATTTTTAGTAGAGAAGGGGTTTCACCATCTTGGCCAGGCTGGTCTTAAACTCCTGACCTTGTGATCCACTTTCTTTTGCCTGCCATAGTGCTGGGATTTACAGGTGTGAGCCACTGAGCCTGGCCTGTGGCAGAATTTTCTGTGAAATGATGCATCCCTTACCTACGTAATGAACAATGCAAAACTTGAATATTAGAGAGCATTGTGTTGTGTGTGTGTGGGGGTGTGTGTGTTGAGGCAAGATTTCACTCTGTTGTCCAGCCTGGAGTGCAGTGGCACGATCATAGCTCTCTGCAGCCTTGAACTCCCAGGATCAGGTGATCCTGCCACCTTAGCCTCCTGAATAGCTGGGACTACAGATGTGCACCACCATGCCTGGCTAATTTTTGTATTTTTTTTTGTTTGTAGAGACAGGGTCTTGCTCTGTTGCCCAGACTAGTCTTGAACTCCTGGGCTCAAGTGATTCTCCTCTTTTGGCCCCCAAAGTGCTGGGATTGCAGGCATGAGCCACCATGTCTGGCCACATTGTTTATTTTTATTTTTTATTTTATTTTATTTTTTTGAGACAAGGTTTCACTCCTATTGCCCAGGCTGGAATGCAGTGGCATGCTTTCAGCTCACTACAACCTCCGTCTCCTGGGTTCAAATGATTCTCCTGCCTCGGCCTCCCCAGTAGCTGGGACTACAGGCATGCCACCATACCCGGCTAATTTTTGCATTTTTTGTAGAGACAGTGTTTCACCATGTTGGCCAGGCTGGTTTCAAACTCCTGACCTCAGGTGATCTGCCTGCCTAGGCCTCCCACAGTGCTGGGATTACAGGTGTGAGCTACTGCACCCAGCCAGAGAATAATAATAATTATTGTCCATGGTTCCTAGGCTCCTACTACGAGCTGCGTGCCCATGCTCAGCCTTTCATCCCTCGGTCCTCCTATGTCCACCCAGATTTGAGGATCAGTGGCCTGTCCCGTCAGCCACGATAACCTGCAGTATCTCCTCCATCCTCAGCTCAGAGAGCTCGCGGATGTTGCTCAGTGAACGCAGCTGGCTGGGGGAGGCTCAGCAGCCGCAGCCAGGAAGCCCACCTACAGATCCCATCTCAAACCACGACGCTCTGCAAACCTCCCCAGTGGCCAGAGCAACTTAACAAAGATTCTGTCTCTTTTCTGCAGCCCGGAAAATATCTGTGTTTGTCTCTTTGCCATGCTGAGTGAATAAAGAATAAGACAAACACCAACCGTGAATACTTGGTGCTTTCGACATAGCAGGGGAGACAGCGACTGAGCCAGCAGCCTTGCCCATCATTATTCAGTTGCACTTGTGACGAAAGCTACCACGGAGAAGTACTGGGATCCCTGGGCCCTCTGGAGGCGGTGCTGGTGCCTTGGGGAATTTCCCTGTGAAAGTAACATTTTGGTTGAATCTTGGAGGGTGAATTGGAGCTGACAGAGCACAGAGTTTAGAGGTGCGTGATGACTGAGAAAAGAATGTGGCTTTGGTGGGGTGCGGTGGCTCAAGCCTGTAGTCTCAGCACTCTGGGAAGCTGGGGAGAGGATTGTTTGGGGCCAGGAGTTCAGGACCAGTCTGAGCAACATAGTGAGAGCCCATTTCGACAAAAAAAAAAAAAAAAAAAAAAAAAAAAAAAATTAAATCCCAGGTGTGGTGGTGCACGCTTGTGGTCCCAGCTACTCAGGATGCTGAGGTGGAAGGATGGCTTGAGCCCAGGAATTTGAGGTTGCAGTGAACTGTGGTCACAGCACTGCATTCCAGCCTGGGCGACAGAGTGAGACCCTGTCTCAAAATAACAACAAAAAGATTAAAAAAAGAAAAAAAGCATAAAGAATGTGGTTCTTGTTGGAGTTTTGCAAAGCATGGTCACTGTGGTACATTCGGTCACAATGAATCCTACAGGCACATTCTAGGGTGAAGTAAGACCCCATAGGGCTTAGAAATGTGAATACCTTTGCTAGGAAAAATAATAGGGCCAAGCATGTAAGGTGGGTCCTTCCCTATAGGCAGAGGGCACTTTCCTGGGACATTTGAATGGATAACCCAATGCCCATTTTCAGTAGAGGGCATAGCTGCTTAGCCACTGTGTGACAGCCGGCATTTGTCACTGTAGCGACCCACCTGTTGAGGTCCACATGGTTTGATGACCAAGCACAGCTCCTTTGAGCTCACCGGACCCCTCCCTGTGTCTTAATCCAGGACCATTTAATCAGGTTGTCAGTGTGTGTGTTGGGGGGATTATGTAGGATCTGGGATGTATTCACTTGGATGTTCTCAGTTGCAACTAACAAAAAGCCAAAAGCCACCTGGCTCAGGCAGTAGAAGGTATTTATTTTACTTATTTAGAGATGGAGTTTTGCTCTCATTGCCCAGGCTGGAGTGCAGTGGTGCGATCTCGGCTCACTGCAACCTCTGCCTCCCAAGTTCAAGTGATTCTCCTGCCTCAGCTTTCCGTGTAGCTGGGATTATAGGCACGTGCCACCACGCTTGGCTAATTTTGTATTTTTAGTAGAGATGGGGTTTTGCCATGTTGGGCAGGCTGGTGGCAAACTCCTGACCTCAGGTGATCCACCTGCCTCAGCCTCCCAAAGTGCTGGGATTATAGGTGCGAGCCACCGTGACTGGCTGAAGGCATTTACTGATGAACAGAATTGGGAAGTCCAGATATGGGGAGAGCCTCAGATTTGGTTTGAGGACGGCCATGGCTCCATTTCTCCAGGATCCTGTTTCTTCCCACTTCTGTGTCGATTTCATCCTCTGGGACTGATCAGACAGTGAGCAGGACACTAGGGAACCATGTGGCATTGGCTCAAGCCAGTAAGGCTGCAGCAGGAGAGGCCTGGGAATCAGGCAGAAGGTCGTCTGCAGGCTGGGGCGGTGGGGGCCACACCTCAAACTTCTACCAGAGCCAGTCTGGAGAGGGAGTTCTTATGGGGTGGGGGAGGGGCAGAGGTTGGGGGCCACTGGAACAGGGACCTGAATGACCAGGAAAAGTGTGAAAGTGAGAAGCAGTGGGAGCTGCTGTCGTACCAGTGAGGAGAGGACCTCAGCTCAGTGGGGCCCGGGGTCGCATGTCTGGTGGGCCAGGTGCATGCTGCCAGCAGCCAGCCTCCAAACCTGGGCGGTCCTTGTCTCTAAAGGACACAGGCTGAGGAGGCTCTCTGCCTGGGAGGGTATCACAGCAGAAGGAGGACTTGTGTGTGTGCCTTGGGATCGGAGGGCTATCCTGTGAGGCCCGCTGGAGAGGGGCCTCCACTCTTGCTAGAGGCACAGTGCGGGGGAAGTCTTTATAGGGGGTTTCCAGAGAACCCCAGGAGAGCCCGGGAGAGAAGCAGCCAGCCCTGGAGTGTCTGCCCCCAAAGCAAGATACCGCCTCGGTCAGGTGTCACCTGGGCCTCTTTTGCTATCCTTCTCATCACCCTGGAGGAGCAGAAGTAATTAAGGGAGGAGGAGGGAGTGGAGGGGCCCCGGGGAGTGCAGGATGGCACCGCTGGTCTGTGGCAGCTCCAGGCAGGCCCGGGCTGGGGGAACCAGAGGTCTGAGAGGGTTGTGGGTTGGAGTTCTGAGTCAGAGACTGGGCCTGGATTCCTGAGAAAGGCTCAGGACAAACGCAGGTCTGCCTGGAACGGGGCTGGGGCCGGTAGGTGCTGAGGGTGAGGGCTGAGGACCAAGGAACTTCATGTTTGACCCCCGAGGGTGGTCTGCTTGGTTTACATTCACCCTGGCAGGAAGAGGCTGGGGCAGTGTCAGCCCTGCTGGGGAGCATGCTGGGCGGGGCTGGTGACTTGTGTAGTGCCTGTGTGGCCAGGTGAGTGGAGGAACAGGAGAGCACTGGGCAGGTGGTGTGGAAGAGGTGAGCATGGAACAGGGAAGCTGGACAGGTGAGTGTGGACCCGGGGGCATGGGAGGGCTGAGTGGGAGACAGTGAGTGTGTATAGGGGAGTGGGGAAACAGGAGAGCACAGGGCAGGTAAGTGTGGAATAGGGAAGCTGGACAGGTGAGTGTGGAACAGGTGAGCATGGGATGGGTGAATGGGAGACAATGAGTGTGTATAGGTGAGTGGGGCAACATGGGTATGGGTCAGCTGAGCAATAAACAAGAAAGCTGGACAGTTGAGTGTGGAACAGGTGAGCATAAGATGGGTGGGTGGGAGTGTACAGGAGAGTGGGAGACAGGTGAGCCGGGGACCAGCGGGTTGGGCAAGTGAATGTGGACAGGGACACAGATGTCATCTCCTTCACAGCCTGAATTGCCTGCCCCTCTCCTGGTGTTAGAGCCTCTGGGGAAGGGGAGATGGAGTTTCTGCCCCCACCCTGGCAGGATGGGGCAGGTGTGCGGTGGGAGGATAAGGATGATTCCTTTTCCTGCAGGGTTGTGGTTATGATTTAGGATGTCACCAAGAGAGGCTCCTCCTAGGCTTCGGTGACCTCTGGACCCCCAGGGAAGGTGGGAAAGAATTTAGGAAGACCCCGATTTCTCACTTGGCATTGGGGTGAAGTTAGTGGCCCTAACCGGTGGGAGTCAGTTGGGGGAGGAGTGCTGGGCCCACCTGGCCACCCACTTCTGGCCCTTAAGGGAGAGCGAGACCTCAGGGAACAGGCATGCTTTCTGGGTACGGGTGTCCTATAGAGGAAGAGATGTGACCCTCCCAGGTGTGAGCAGCTCAGGCGGCTGCGGTGGGCGTGAAGGTGTGTGTGTGTGTGGGTGCCCAGATCATCACCTGGCAGCCCCACGGCCTGCACCAGCTGGGGTGGGCGACTCAGGGTCTAAGTGGAGGGGGCGAGGGGCTGCAAGAGCAGGGGTCCAGGACGTGCTGCGCATGAACCTGCGTCGGTGGGGGATGGGGCGGGGGCGGGGAGCCCGGCGGGGGAGGGGAGAGTCTGGGTGGGCCAGGACAGGGGGGCCCGCGGGGAGGTGGTGGTGAGGGGAGACAGGCTGCGGGCCTGCCTGGGCGGCGGGGGGCGGGGGGTGCAGCAGCTGCGCGCGGCGCGGGGGCGGGCGTGGAGGGCGGCGCCGCTGCAGTGCGGGGACCCGCTCGCTCGCTCGCTCGCCCGTCGTCCCCGCGCCCCGCGTACCCGCGCAGCCGCCTCCTGGCCTTGGGCGCCGCGCATCCAGGTACGTGGGGCTGGGCTGGGGTCTGTGCCGGGATTCCCGGGCCTGGGAGGCCCCCCCAGGCATGCGGGCATCTAGGGGGGTTCGGTCCCCCGGGAGTGGGGGGCGCGCGGGGCGGAGCCGGGCCTGGGGCGCCCAGTCAGGGGTCCCTGGAGGCTCCTCACCGGCGCAGGGGCGGGGGCTGGGGCTGGGGGTGCGGGATCTTGGGGTGGAGGCCGCTTTCCCCGGGGGCGGCTTGGCTGGGCTGGGGTCCTGCGCTCTGCGGTGCGGGGCGGGCGCGGCCAGGCCTGGCCGTGGTGACTTCGCCTGCGCGGCCGCCGCATTTGTCTCCCCCCGGTTCCCCCCGCCCGGCTCCCCTTGTTTACCTGCGTTTCTGCTTTTTCCTGTGAAGAGGCCCGTCCAGCCCATCCACGGCCTCACCCTCCTCTCTCCCTCCCCTGAGGCCGCGCGCAGGGGCCCCCAGCATTCACATTTCACACAAGTGCCCCCAGAAAGGGGGGATGGAGGAGGGCAAGGCCCTGTAACCCCCGGGATGGACCCACAGAGAGCCAGGCCCCCCGACTCCTCCCACCGCGGAATCCTCGGAGCCGCAGAAGGGGCTTCTCAGCCGCGTGCGCCTGTGTCCGAGCCCCTCCACCCCTGCCCGGTCTGTTGAGAGGGAAAGCTCTGGGGGTCGTTACGTTTAACAACTCACCTGGCCCCGCGGAATGAAAGATCTTTGACAAATGCGGAATCAGTGACTTTCTTATCCGCTCCTTGGAGAAGCCTGATTCACGCCGCCTGCGTTTATCCGGCGCGCAGCCCCGGGCCGCTCTCAGGCCTCGGTGATCTGTTTTCTGGACAGGAAGGAAGCAGCAGCCCTCGCCATGGCCTCCCCGCCCGCCTGCCCCTCGGAGGAGGACGAGAGCCTGAAGGGCTGCGAGCTGTACGTGCAGCTGCACGGGATCCAGCAGGTCCTCAAGGACTGCATCGTGCACCTCTGCATCTCCAAGCCCGAGCGCCCCATGAAGTTCCTCCGGGAACACTTCGAGAAGCTGGAGAAGGTGAGTGGCCCCCACCGCCCCGCCGTTTCCCTTCGCAGGTGTCCTGGGGCAGAGGCAGCAGCCAGAGAAACCTTCCCTCCATCCTGTGGTTTTCCAAGGCTGGGTGCCCTAGAGAACGTCTGCCATCCTGCAGCTCCTTCCAGAAGCGCGGGCGGAGAGGCCAACCTGGGACCCACCCTCCCTTGTTCGAGCTCTTGAGAGTCATCCCTCCTAGGCTTGGTCCTCCGAGCCACAGAATTTTCTCTTCTGTTTCCAGTGGGTTCTAGGTCTTCAGAGCTCTTGGGGAAGGCGGTTCAGGATTTTAGGTTCAGGTATTTTGTTAGCTTGTGGGACTTACGGACAGTTTTCAGCTTGAGGAACTGAGATGAGAGCCAGGTCAGTTATAGATGCTGTCAACACTTGGGATAAAAGACAATAGCTCCCACGGGATAGCTCACGCCTGTAATCCCAGCGCTTTCGGAGGCGAGGCAGGGAGATCACCTGAGGTCAGTTCGAGACCAGCCTGGCCAACATGGCGAAACCCCATCTCTACTGAAAATACAAAAATTAGCCTGGCATGGTGTCAGGCACCTGGAATCCCAGCTACTGGGGTGGTTGAGGCCGGAGAATTGCTTGAACTGGGAGATGGAGACTGCGATGAGCCGAGATTGCACCACTGCACTCCAGCCTGGGCAACAGAGCAAGACTCTATATGAAAAAAAGGAAAAAGAAAATAGCTCCCATGGCTAAGGTGATGTGGGATGTTTGAGGTCAGATTCCACGTTAATGTGTGTGTCTGAGGCCTTGCAGCGGTGGGAGAGGAAAGTGCCCTTCAGCGTGTGTGGTGGGAGAAGCCCAGGCCTGCTCCTGCTCTTCTCTACCCCATACCTCATTCCTCCGGGAGTGATGGCTCTCACCCGCTTCCTGGCCTCCTGCATCTGGATTCTTTTCATGGAAGTGCATGGCTGGAAAGTGGAGGCTGGGACAGGAGCCCCCAAGATGACCCAGCTGCGTCCCCTCCCCTCCCCTCGCTGTGGGCTCCTCCAGCCCTTGCTCTGGGCCCCACCCCAGGCTTTCTGGGTATCCCCTAAGGTTTCGCCTCTTGGTCCTTTAACACAAGTTAACTGTCCCTGTGCCGATCCCCCCCCGGGGGGCCAAATGGGAAGCTTGGTTCAGGCGAAGGTCGGCCTTTAAGTGCCTGTGAGCCACCTGGTCCCCATCCAGTGGTGTTGATGCGTTTGACAGGGCCTCTGGTGATCACGTAGCCTTAACCCAAATAAATGAATTTAACTCTTCCCTTGGAAACAATCCTTGAAGAAACACTTTAAAGATATACATGCCTGTTAAGGAAAATTTGAAAAGTTCAGAAGTGGAAAGAAAAAATAAAAATGCCCTGGACTCCTCTCCACCGAATTTCCCCTCAAATGTTATTTTTATAAAAATGTAGTTGTAGGCCAGATATGGCGGCTTATACCTGTAATCCCAGCATTTGGGAGGTCAAGGCGGGAAGATTGCTTGAGATCAAGAATTCAAACTTGTCTTTCAAAAATATTTTTAAAATTAGCTGGATGTTGTGGCAACTGCCTGTGGTCCCAGCTACCTGGAGGCTGAGGTGGGAGGATCACTTGATCTCAGGAGTTTGAGGCTGTGGTGAGCCATCATCACACCACTGCGTTCCAGCCTGGGCAACAGAGCAAAACCCTGTCTCAGAAATACATACATAAACACATGCACATATATGCATTCGTACACACATGCATAAGTCCTTGTGGCAGTCACCTTACAGATGCAATTTGTATTTTGTGTTTTTCGTTTTTTTATACACTCTTTAAAGATCTCACTTTAAGTGACTGCATAATGTTCTGTGGAAAAAATATACTAAGGGTTTTCAACCCTTTTCCCATGAGTGAGTGGACAATTGTTTCCTTTTTTTTTTGTATTAAATATTGGGGCCAATGGGCATGGTGGCTCATGCCTGTAATCCACTAAAAATACAAAAATTAGCCAGGAGTAGTGGTGGCTGCCTGTAATCCCAGTTACTCAGGACACTGAGGCAGAAGAATCACTTGAACCTGGGAGGCGGAGGTTGCTATGAGCTGAGATTGTGCTGCTACACTCCAGCCTGGGCAACAGAGCGAGACTGTCTCAAACAAAACAAAACAAAACAAAATAAACAAAACAAAACAAAACACCTGGGGTCGAGTGCGGTGGCTCACGCCTTTAATCGCAGCACTTTGGGAAGCCCAGGTGGGTGGATCACTTGAGCCCAGGAGTTGGAGACCAGACGGGCCAAGATGGCGAAACCCCATCTCTACTAAAAATACAAAAATTAGTTGGGAGTGGTGGCATGCACCTGTAGTCCCAGCTGCTCGGGAGGCTGAGGCAGGAGAATTGTTTGAACCAGGGAGGCGGAGGTTGCAGTGAGCCGATTGCGAAACTGCACTCCAGTCTGGGCGACAGAGTGAGACTCTGTCTCAAAAACAAATCAATTTTTTAAAAAAAGTATACGGGAGGACGTGTGTAGGTTACATGCAAATATGACACCATTTTATATCAGAGACATTAGCATCTATGGGTTCTGGTACCCTTAAGAGATTCTAGAACCATCCCCCATGGATACCAGGGGATGACTGTACCATATACTGGGCGTCTTAAACAACAGAAACGTCTCCTCCCACAGTTCTGGAGGCTGGAAATCCAAGATCAAGGTGTAGGGGAACGGCTTCTTCTGGGCCCATGTGGAAGAAAGTTCTGTGTCTTCCCGCCCCTAGCCCCGGCTCTGGGTGGTGCTGGGGATCTTTGGTGGTCCAGGCTGGAAGTCTGAGATCAAGGTGTGGCAGGATGGCTCCTTCTGGGTCCATGTGGTAGAAGATTCTGTGTCTCTCCCCAGCTCTGGGTGGTGCTGGCCATGTTTGGTGGTCCAGGTTGGCAGGTGCATCATGGGTCTCTGCCTTCATCTTCACATGGTGGTGTGCCCCCGGTCCAAATCCCCACACCTCCTTTTTTTTTTCTGAGACGGAGTCTCACTCTGTCGCCCAGGCTGGAGTGCAATGACGTGATCTTGCTCACTGTAATCTCCGCTTCCCGAGTTCAAGTGATTCTCCTGCCCCAGCCTCCTGAGTAGCTGAGGACTACAGGCATGTGCCACCACACCCAGCTAGTTTTTGTATTTTTAGTAGAGACGGGGTTTCACCATGTTGGCTAGAATGGTCTCGATCTCTTGACCTCAAGATCCGCCTGCCTTAGCCTCCCAAGGTGCTGGGATTACAGACGTCAGCCACTGCTGCGTCTGGTCCAAATTTCCCATTTTTATAGGGACACCAGTCATCCTGGATCAAGGCCACCCTAATGACCTCATTGTAACATCATTGCCTCCATCAAGACCCTGTCTCCAAATAAAGTCAACTTCTGAGCTTATGAGGTTAGGACTCCAGAGTGTCTATTTTTGGGGACACTATTCGCCGATCCCAGTGGCCTTCTTGGGCCTGGGCAGGGCAGATTTTCTCAGGCCCTTCTCCAGCAGTGAGCCATTGCTGAGTGAAAATAGGAGGTTGCAAGATATGATCTATGGTACAGTTCCCTTTTTCTTGAAAGTGATACCAATGCTAATGCGTCTGTATGCAAAGAAAAAAATCTGAGGGGCATCCACCAAAATGTCAGTAAGAGTGGTGTCTCCGGGCACAATTACAGGTCATTTTTGTTTCTGTTTTCTGCAGTATCTGATAGGGACAGGCCTTTGGGGAGCTTTGGTGAAGTCTTTGAAATCGCATGCATGTTCTATGTGTGGGTGTGTTTAACTGGGAGGAGTGTCCCTTAGCCTGCAGTGGCTTCTCAAATGGAGCTGACATCCCAAAATATAAACCACCTAACGTGGCCCTAAAATTCCACGGGAGTCTCATTTTCTGCTGCGTTCTCTTGACCAGTGAGATGCTATGGAATGCTTACAATAGAACCAGGAAGTGTGTCTCTGGGCAGGGCGGCAGCCCTGATGAAGAGGGACAGGGTCTGAGCCATCCCCTTGAGGCCAGCTAGGGCTGAGTGGAAGGAAGAAGCCTCCCATGGAGGGTTTTTCTCCACTTGTATCACAAGCAGGGTGCATGTTTGTGAGGCTTTCATAAAGCACCTGGGATAAACCCACACAGACCGGCAGGGATGGCCCAGCTCTCTGAGTGCCATCCATGCCGGCTGGGCTTGGCCTCTGGTGCTCCGGCCTTCGTGAATAAGTTCTTCTGTGGTGGTGACTTAAGCTGACCAACTATTCCTTATTTGATGGCAAAACACAGCATGGGAGTTTCCTCAGCAAGATGTGATCTTTCAGAAGATTATGCAAAATGACATCATCAATCTTTTTTTTTTTTTGAGACAGGGTCTGGCTCTGTTGTCCAGGCTGGAGTACAGTGGCATGATTGCAGCTGACTGCAACCTCCATCTTTCAGGCTCAAGCCATCCTCCCACCTCAGCCTCCTGAGTAGCTGGGACTACAGGTGCATACCACTATGCCTGGCTAAATTTGTATTTTTTGTAGAGATGGGTTTTTGCCATGTTGCCCAGGCTTGTCTCGAACACGCCTGAGCTCAAGCGATCCTCCCTGCTCGGCTTCCCAAAGTGCTGGGATTACAGATGTGAGCTACGGCACCTGGCTCATCTGTTTTTTTTTTTTTTTCCCTTTCTTTTTTTTTTTTTGAGATGGAGTTTTGCTCTTGTTGCCCAGGGTAGAGGGCAATGGGGTAATCTCGGCTCACTGCAACCTCCGCCTCCTGAGTTCAAGTAAGTCTCTTGCCTCAGCCTCCCAAGTAGCTGGGATTACAGGCATGTGCCACCATGTGTGGCTAATTTTGTATTTTTAGTAGAGAAGGGGTTTTACCATGTTGGCCAGGCTGGTCTTGAACTTCTGACCTCAGGTGATCCGCCCGTCTTGACCTCCCAAAATGTTGAGATTACAGATGTGAGCTACCGTGCCCGGCTCATCTGTGTTTTTTAGCATCAACAGGTCCTGTGTTTTTATTGCTGGGCAGTGTTCT